CATGGCTCACGAACTTAATCCATTCCAGGACTCTGGTCGTGACCCAAAATGGTTGTGAGCCAAGTTAAATTTCCCCATAAGGTTCAACATAAATAAGGTGAATCTGTTCTGTAACTATTTTTTTAAATCAGAAAAATGTGAAGCAAAATGACAAAGGACAACAAAGATCGCAGCCATCTCCCCACTCCCCCACCCTGAGCAGGAGCGCGGCCATCTCCGCCCCCCCCCCCCAGCAGGACTGCGGTTGCACCCATCATCCCTGCACGCACCCGTCACCCCAGCACGCTGGGGAGGTGGGAGAGACGATGCGATCGCGGGTGTGCTGGGGGGAGAGAAGGGCGAGGACACGGGCGCACTTGGGGGAAAATGGGTGCAATCATGCTTGGGAGGATGAGATGGCCGAGATTGCGGTTGCGCTCCTGCAGGATAGACGGGCGCAATCTTGGCCATTTTCCTCCCACCCCAGTATGATCGCGGTCGTCTCCCCACTCAGGGGTGGGGAGAGAGGGTTGCAATAATGGCCGTCACCCAATACGGAGTTTGCGACCTGAGTTAAAATTTTTATGAAATTTTTGTTCGCAACCCAATTTGGTCGTGCACCAAAGCGTTCATGAGCCGAGTTGCCAGGGCAGAACTACCACAGGGTGGGGGGTTCAAAGAGCTGGGGGCTCAGGACTTTGTCAAACCTGATGCCAGGCCTGCTGTGCACATCATTGTCTTGTTCTGGTCTAATGAGCTTGCTTGCTAGGTTTTTCTCAGAAAACTAAAACCTGTTAATAATCAGCATTATTAATGTCTATCAATCCATTTCATTCCCCCTAATTAAAGCCTGGAATGTAAAGTATACAAAGCAAATATAGTTACAGCGTTTAAAGTCAGATACAAAAGGCAAAATTTGCTACTAGATGCAAACCAACAACCAAAACAAAAGACCTTTTCAAATATGCACATCACAGATATATCCAAGCATGTTTCTGCGATTGTTCTTCATAACAGAAGAGGGCAAGGAAAAACCTGTGCCCATTCTATAATAAATGGTAATGTATCAGATAGAAAAAGCACCATTTTAGTACCTTAAAATATGTTGACATATATCAACACACAGGAAATAAATGCTTTTCCCTGAAACCCAATGATTTTTGGCTACATCTTCAACTGACCCAGATTCACAGATAGATAAACATTGTTCTAAATTTAACTTTTGGATATTGACCTTTCAAATATTTTGTCTGCATTGCTTCAGAATTAAGAGGTGAGAATACCCATCCGGGTGAGTGGAAAAACAAACTAACAACTATGCCAGAGAACAGAAAATGACAGCTAAAGTTTGTGGCTGAGTTCTGCATATGGATACAGAGGGTGGCAAGCAAAGTGGGGACTGAAAGAAACATGGCTCGTAACACCTTGAGAGCATTTGTGTTCTCCAAGCTGCACAGGTCAGCTCATAACATAGCACATAAACCGTTTTCAATTAAAACAAACTTTAGGTTGTAGCTGATGGACTCCTCCTTAGAGAACAGCTTCTGTCTGTGAAAGGGGGCAGAGCAATTGCCACTCACAAACAATCCTCTGCAAATCCTCAGGACCTGCTCTGGAGGTATCTTTGGAACAGATTTGGGTGTGTTGTAGCCTTTCCATTATCAGTGGTGTATCTTACAGCAGGTAATATGACCCCAGAAAAAGTGGGGGTCCAATCCCCTCTTCCCATCCCCTGTAAGCACTGTTTCCAAATGTAACATCTGCTGCTATGTTTCTGAAAATATATACTATTAGATTATTAATAAATCATTTGTAAAATGTTTGAGATATGCTACATGAACTTATCGTTCTGCCCATTGCCATTTCTTAAATGAACCTACATTTTACAGCTGGGAAACGAGGTCAGAAAACCTTTTTTTTTTTTTTTTTTTGGTGGGTTATCTATGCAGTCCAATATTCTGAGAGCTGGCTGACACAGCTGTATTTGTTCTACACGTACACAGCCTGATCTGTTCTCCTTGGTCATGGGTGTACCCACTATTTTTGTGGAGAAACATCTATTTAAATCACCTTGAGTATGGATACAGCCATACTGGTCAGTGACAGTTTCTGTGATCCAATTGGTACATTTCTTAGTGATTCAGAAATCACTACTAGCTGTATCTCTCTAGCATCAATAGACACAATGCTATTTTCCCCTTAAAAATACCCCAAGAATAGCTGTAACTAGTGATTTTGCGGAGTTTTTTTCTTTGTTTGATAATTTTCTTGTCCACAGACCTCCAATGATGTCCTTCAGTTCCTCTGGGCACAAATAGCAGTGTGACTGTTGAGTGTCTATTTTCAAGAAGTTCACTTATATGGAGGATGCTCAGTACACCCTCACTCAGCATAGTCATACCATGTGTAGGGTTGGTTGTTTTGTTGTCGTTTTCCTACTTCAGACTGAATAAGTCTGACGTCTGATTGAACATAGTTTAATCCCTTTTAAATTGCTATGCAAACACTATAGACATCATTTTATTTATTTATTTATTTATTTATTTATTAAGACATTTTTATGCCGAAGCCTCGGGGCGGCTTACAACACATACATTTTACTGCTGAAATTATGATCACCAGTCCATAGATCGATCTGGCATGAGCACCTGAAGCATGGCTTGGCAGAATGGTTGCATGCTCAGCATGGCAAAGGTCCCAAGGTTAGTCCCTGGCACTTCCCATTCAAGGAAAGGGCATCAGGTAACACATGATAAGCAAAATCTCAGACCCAGATCTTGAAGTGCCAATGCCAGTTGGAGTAGAGGGAAACACCTTATACTGAGTGAGGTCTACACCTGACTGGCAATATATCACCAGGACCTCAGACTAAGGTCCTTTCCATCCACTGGAGATGCCAGGGATTGAACCTGGTACTGTATGCATGCAAGTTCTGTCCATTCGAAACAATACAGTGTGGGACTAGGCAGGATCCTGACCATTTAGTCCCATAGTGTTTCATACCAAATATAGACATCCCTCAGTGGATGGCAACATGTATCTTACTTAGGTGGTATAGGATAAATTGCAGATACATGGATATTTCTCGTTACAAAGGTAGCTTGCAACCCCCTCAGAGTTTAACATCAGCTTACACATTAGGGTTCAAAATCAGCAATCCCATTTTTCAATGTCCTTCCACTTGAAAATCATTTTCATGTTAAATAATTGCCTATCTGCAGATGTTTGTATAAATTAACAGATACAAACAAGAATTTAGGAAGAAATAAAGATGTGGTAAGATTATGTGCAGGAGAATTAATCTAAGGGTGTAATTTTATGCATGTGTAGTTAGAAGAAAAAGTTCTACAAGAAAATCTGACAATTCCATGCTGGCTGTGGAATGTTGGGAGTTTGGGGACTTTTCAGTGTAAACATACATAACGATTATACCCTAAGGCCTTTTAAAAAAAATTCTTGCATCACTTTGATGGCTTTTTACACACACAATCACACACTCATACAACCCATGTCTGATTAACTTCCAGCCCATATAGAAATATAAGCAGTATTTGTCCTGGGCATCAATGTGTTCATGCATCACATTCTGAAGAAGCGAGTCAAAATACGCATTCCATCCCTCCTCAGAGCCCCCTTTGCATTCTCAAGCAAGTACTGCGTCTTTGAAATGTTTATTTCTCTCCTTTCGCAATGCATCAGGCAGAAGCGTGCGAGGAGGTGGTATGCTTCAGAATAACCAGTTAGAGTGGATAGGACGGAAGGGTGGGGGCTGGGCAAACGTCTCATTACACTGGAGCTATTGTCTGCTGAACTCTGAAGAAAGCATGGCGTATGAAATTTCTAGGGGGTTGCAACAGAAATGGCAAAGACAGCAAACCGGTCAGAATCCCGCCCTCCGCCCCATTCCTTGGAGTGGAGGAAACGAAGCAGCATGCGAAGAGGGATTCAGCAGGCTCTGACCATTTAGGAGATGCATCACGTTGTTAGAACAGCAACCAACAGATCCACAAAAGAGCAAAATTTATCCAGTCATTTGGGTAAAAGAGCAACAGACCGCAGACACCCCACCGCCTCAGGAAACCAACAGAGCAGGGCAGGGGAGGGGGGAGGGCAACAACCACACAGCGCGAAGCATTTTACAATGGCGATCTCTGAATTCACGTACATTGCGCCATCACTTCCTTGCAGAACTTCCTGAACACTTCAAGGAAATGCCTTTCCAAAAGTGATAGTCTATTATTTTTTATGCCACACATAAATTGTAGAGTGACTCAGAATACTGGATTTAGCTGGCCTCAGATCAGCCTCTTGTATTTGGGCACATCTGAAAAAAAAAAAATCTTGAGAATAAAAACGTATTATTTCTCCCATTTCAATTATATAGCTTATTAATTGTTCCCCCCAAGTGGGGGTTGTATCCAGCTAGTTTTTGAATGACCCAGTGGTTGGTTTGTTTTTTAATGTTCACTGTATTTGCATTTAGCCCATGGCTTCTGCACTTCAGTGGCCAACAGTTGCTGAGTACCCCCTGGAATCCCCCGTGATGTGCAAATTCCAGATCTGCAAGGTAAAACATGAAAGGGAAGGTCACAGTCCCCCTCCCCTCTCTAGCCCAAGAGGTGACTCCTTCTAGCCTGGGCACGAACAGCATATCCTCAACCTTTGCATCAAGATCTGAAAAGGTAGGCCTTCCCCACAACCCCATCTTACCAGCTCATCGCCTAAATGCAGCGATCATTTGCCAGTCAGAGTTTGCAAATATGAAGCCTTTGACTTTTGTCAGAAATTGGAATCCTGCACATACAAGAATGCTTCTCTGCTGAAAAGAGGCGGTGGGGGATCTCTACAAATAAGGATTTAAATGAAAAGCTTTGGGGAGGGGGTAGATGGCTTTTGCCTTCCATTTGTAGCATGCATGAGCATTGTCTCCTGATGCTTTTTCTCTTCTTTTTTTTTAAGGGAAGCAGAAGTCTTAATGGGGCGGTGCAACAGTTAAGCTGACGATGACATCACTGCGATTTGCATAGAAGGGGGCTATAACTGGTCATGCAAGGAAAGAGTCATTTTATACTAGAGTCCAGAGCAGCTGCTGCTAAGATCGAGTTGTTTCTGTTCACAGTATCACTGGTGAGGATACAATGTACTCTTTCTTTCATTTCGGGGTTTGTTTTTCGGGCTCGTTTGCTTGCGATAGCCTCCTTTTTGTCTGCATAAATAGATACGCTGGTAATTTTGATGGTTCTGGGATTTTGGAGGCGAGGGATCCCTTGATCGCCGAGCGTTTGCACAGGGGCTTTCCCCTGCGTGCCTCGAAGGGCGGCCGAGCCGCGCGGAGCGGCGCAGGGTTTGCGGCACGGTGAAGGTAGCTCGCGGGGATGCAGCGCGACGCGTGTGAGCGAAGAGGCGAGCGTGCAGACCGTTTCCTCGCCGGCAGCTGCCTCCGGAGGGCTCCTTCGGGGTTTGCCTGGCGAGGGAGGGAGGGGACGAGGGAAGAGCCGACTGCCACTTCTCCCCGGTGTTCGGGACGCGTCTCCTCCGACGGCTTGGCGCGCCTGGGGAGCGTCTCCTCCGACGAAGACCGCCGCGGGGACGCTTTGAGCTGGGCGCGATCCGGTCCCCGGAAGGTGGTGGTGGGGTGCCGGCGCTGCCCTGCGCGTCGAGCAACAAAAGAGCAGCCCTTTGTCTCGCTGCGACGCGGCATCGTGGAGCGGATCGCGCTGAGGAGGAGAAAGTGAGGCGCGAGGGAAGAGGAAGGGCGGTGGTTGGGCTCCTCGCGCTCCAGCTGCAGCTCTTTGTGAAGAGGAAGGAATGCGGGACTCCATCCAACTGTCCTGGGCGAGAGACGCCAAGATGGAGACCGCGATTCGCGTCGCCTTGTGTCGGCACCGCCGCTCTCCAATCAGAATAACATGTTCAACACAGATAATAGCTTCATCCCAAGCACGGTTTTCTCTGCTCTCTCTCTCCATATGCAAAGCCTGGCTCGGAGGTTTCAATCGGAGGAGATCGTGCCCAGACTGCTCTTGGCAAACGAGGAGATTTGCTTTTAATCACTTAGTGCCCCCCCCGCCTTTTTTTTTTTTTTTTTTTTTAACACAGCAGAAATGATTTCTTCCTTTCCTTTCAACCTGTCCGTGGTTTCTGCCCTGGCACACAGCACTGTCTCATCAGAGACGCAGCCATGTGAGCCTGCAACTCTGTAGCTCTAGGGAAGGGTCTGTCGTTGTGAATTTATTGCACGCATCTAAAAAGTAGTTTTTAAAGTAAGGTACTATGTCACTGTTCCAGCAGGAAGGAGGAGTTGAGATGGCTGGCTTGGATTCAAATGTGCTGTGCATTTCTGAAGCAGGGTTGAGGGCGGAGGGGTGGGGAGACAGGGTGGTGATAATTTAACAGTCTGCTTTTTGTCTTTCTGTATGTAGAATAATCAGCAGATATGGCTGACAAACCAGATATGGCTGAAATTGAGAAATTTGACAAGTCTAAGTTGAAGAAGACAGAAACGCAAGAGAAAAATCCACTGCCTTCAAAAGAAAGTAAGTGGCTTTAGGAAAGAGAAAGAGGGCGTGGGCCAGAGTAGACAAAGGGAAGGCAGACCAAGTCCATATGCCTTCCGTTATCAGCTCCTTTTAAATATATCTGAAGGATTTCTATACATTACAGGACACTGTGCATTCATGTACCAATCAAGCTTGCATTAAGGATACCATCTTTTATGAAGATTAAGCATTTTTTCTGGAAATTCATAGATTTATTTTGCAATTTCTAAATACTCAAATACTGACAATTGTGAAATTTTCACTCTGTATGTCTATATGTGTAATGTTTAGCACGCAATTAAGACTGAACTCTGCTTCAAACACCTAATTTTTTTTTCTTTTTGTCTTTCTCCTCCCCCTCCCTCCCCTTCCATTTTGTAGCAATTGAACAGGAGAAGCAAGCAGGAGAATCGTAATGAAATGGGCCCTTCCAAATTATGCACTGTACATTCCACAAGCATTGCCTTCTTATTTTACTTCTTTTAGCTGTTTTAACTTTTTAAGATGCAAAGAGGTTGGATAAAGTTTAAATGACTGTACTGCCCCTTTCACATAAAAAAAAAATAGAGAGAACTACTGACGCTGAATGAAGGCGCTGTCCTTTCCATCTGCCTGTCCAGCTTTGATTGGTCTTGGTGGAATGAAAGAGCTTGCATGTTTCTTGAAAGAAGATCCTGCGAAAGGGACTACGGTAATTTAGTAACACACGAATTTACGCAAAGCTGTACCAAGGTCCTGCAAGCTGTAAAATGCAGTTAATCGAGTGCCATTTTTTTTGTTCAAATAATTTTAATTATTGGAATGCACAATTTTTTTAATATGCAAATAAAATGTTTTAAAACCTGGGCGATATTGCTATGGTATCTTTTTTCCTCTCCTTTTGGAGAATATTATCAAAGGAAGAAGCATAAGATCTATACTAACATGGAATCCTAGGAATATATAGAAGCCTATATAAACTACATTTTTTCCAGCTGACAGCAAACTATTAGGGATTTACATCTCTTGGAAAAGCATCTTAAAAATCTAAGATTACATTCATTTCTAAGAGTCTGTGCAGGAGATGTACCCTTTTGGGTGTGCTCTGTAAAAAGAATGAAATTATTTTCTTTCCTAAGCATTGGACTATCCAATCTATTTTAAATTTATTTTTATCATTTTATTAGGTTTGTATTCTACCTTGGAATTTTATATTGACAAGCCAGTAATAAAATGTAAAAATAAAATGAATCTATAGACATTGTTTTGAAAATAGTTCTTTGCTGCAGTTATCTCCTTTTAAGCCCTGTAGCAAAGCTGGGCAGATGATAACTTTCTGTGGGCTGTACATAAGCATCTAGTACGGGGGAGAAGGCTTTTGTATGGTCTTGTATGCCTGTAGCATCCATAGCAAGGAGCTATTTGGAGAAGACGTCCTTTCACCTTGCTCTTCCATAACAGACATAACATTCCGCTTTCTTGAATAGCAGGTTGTTCCAGGCATGGCGACAATTCATGTGTAGCCTTGTTCAATTTCTTGTTCAGGTTTCCTCCATGTAGGGAACAGTTTCCATGTCAGCTCTGCCAAGGGAGTCCTGATCATTGCAGATGATTCTCAGGCATATTCTAGTGTGCACTTTTGGTTCACGCAGTATTGAGAGTCTCACTGTCCTGTAGGAATGGAAAGTGTTCCCTGAAATGCATCGTGGCTGTGCATTGCAGAGAAGAAAGGACAGGCATGTCGTGTTTCTGAAAAACAAGGCCATTGGTAATCTTGCTGAGGAACCACTTGTGTGCTTTTGAGGATCCCTGAAGTTCCTGGATCATGGTCTGAAAGCCATTACCATAGGACCAGGCTTTTGTTTTTCCTTTATAAAGTGATGCTATATTAGACAGTAAGCACTGCTTATTATGTTGGGCTGGAGCTGCAACCTTCAGATGTAATCTGCCAGTGCTTGCTTGCTTTGCCTGTACTGTTCGTATACCACCTTTCTGTGGAGCTTAGTGAAATTGAACATACGGCTTTCTGTTAACTTGGAATAACTGGATGCTTTTCCCTATGGCCCCCCACCACTATACATGCACACATGCACTCCATTTTTCATTTTCAAGATGCTGAGCATGTTCAGTTAAAAGCAGGCATTCTTGATGGTGTTTTGGATCAGCAGTGAACTCCACTGTACAGTCTCTTCTGCTGTGCATGATTAGTGTAGTCATCATTTGTTAGATTGTCAATGCCCATGCTGCACAATGGAAGATCTTGTGAATACTACTTTCTCTTTCAAACCTGGATTGAAAACCATTTTTCTTGACCGAAGGGTTTTTAATGTCTTCAAATGTCAGACATGGTTAAGGTCTGGGTTTGTCTTCAGTTCTTTCTAAACGTAGCATATGTTTTTGAGAGAAAATGCCAAAACAATCTATAGTTAGAATGAATCAGAGGATTGACTCTTCTCCTGTGTGGGAGAACTGTTGAGTTCTCTCCAGTATATCCCACCTCTCCTGTAAGTCAGAGATGCAGCTGAATTGCAGGCTGTCTCACTTGTCACCGCTTCTGGCTGCCAAGCTGCTTCACTGCCCAATCGTGGGCAGAGTTAGGTACACTTAGCTCATATATTTGAATATGCCTAGCTTGTTTTGATGCATAAGATTCGTCTAGAAACATATCAAGAATAATTTTTTGGGAACCAGTGGAGACAGTATGATAATAATAATAAATACAATATAGTAACCAAACCAAGAATGATGGTGTTCTGTTAGCACAAGAGGGCTTGGCTTTGCTTTACTCAATGAGTAATCTTTAGTTGCATGGCAAAAGATAACTTAGGGGAGTTTCAAAAGCAGCTTTTGTCAGTGGGTGTGATGGTCAGCTGTTCAAAGAACCAACAGTTCCCCTTTGCACCGTAGTGCCTAAAATAAACCCTTTGCAAAATCCAAAGGGTGCAATCCTGTGAGCTCTTTACCAGGGGAAAAGTCTCACTGAAACCAGTGAAACTTCTGAGGAAATATGCATATATTTGCATTCACATGTTTGTATCCAGGCCATTCAGCACATACTCTATGATGCTGAACTGAACTCCTTAAAAAGGAATATTAACAGGATTTCGATAACTGCATTTTGTAAGGCAATTGACAAATGAAGCCGCTTATGCTACTAGAGAATTCTGTTTGTGCCTTTACGTAGTGTGGCTAGCACACAGGAAATCATTCTGCTGAGACTATTGACATGAAGAGACACCTCCAAGATAGTGATCTTAATCAGAATACACAGGATGTAGGGTGATGACTAAAATATATAGTGCTTGCTAAGTTCAGAACAGAGTGAATGTGTGCATCTGAGGCAGAAGAGTTCATTGCTACAAGTCTGTCCCCCACTCCCCTCAGCAAATGAGTAGAAGGAGCAGAAGCATTTTTTCGTGTCCTGCAAGGAGTATTACAGTATTGTTCAATGAAGGAACTTTGCTGCAGGGGTTGACAAGTTCAAGATGTTACTGTGTGTGAGGTATTGCTGGTGCTCCAAGCAGAATAAGTGACACCTCTTAGTATACGTGTACAAATGGAGTCTTCTTTACTAATAGGACTGCTCAATGGAGGAAGTACATTGAGTTGCATTGGAAAGTAGACTAACCTGAGCATTCTTGACTTGACCAAGTTTAGGTAGGGTTAGGATTAGGGGCAAAATGTTTGCCCACACAGTGCCCCTACACATACCTTAAATGTCATAAAGAGCTGAGGGTTTTATGGAGACAAGAATTAGGGAAGAATGCTTTAGGAAACTAAAGATAGCTTCAAAGCCCTTTGACTGTAAGTTTGTGATTTTAAAAGTGTATTAAAAATCCATAAATGACCAAACATATTACAATGCATTGATTGTTTGGTGGACTTTGAATTATACTGGTAGGTTTCACCGTCTTTCTTATTAGATATGTATCTGTATCACATATCCCTAGTTAGCATTTTTTGCCTTCCAGACAAGCCCCTTCTAAGTATTCGAACTGCTTAAAAGAAGGCGTTATTCTTATTGTTGCATTCAGATGATGTAGAAGCCAATGACAGCCACATCATGAATGAGGAGCATTGTTTGACTGGGTCTGGACTGGGTTCATATTTCTGCAGATTTATGGTTGCCATTTGGAGACAGGTCAACTGTTTTAGACACGGCTTCAAATATGCTTTGTTTTTGCATGTGTTTACATTTGTATTAGAGTGTTGGCATTGACCTGTTAAATAGCAAAGGAAGAGAATGCATTCCAATGGATACCCACTGTGCAGGGCAGTCGAAATGACAGGTTTCCTTTTTAGGTGGCTATAAATGGAGGATATTTCAAAGCACAAAATATGCTCTCATGGTCTGCAATTGCAGCACAGGAATTTTTCATTATGCCTAAAATACATTTTCATATCTACTAGAAAGGAGTGCTCAACTTTAACTTCCTATGTTATGAAATGTTCCACTGTGGTTTACAAACTGTTGAAGTGCAAGTCACTTTATGCATATGGCCAGAATGCCATTTTTATTCAAGGAAATGATGCATTAATTTCCCCACTGAAATAATCCACATGCATTTTACTTTATTGTATACATTTTACTACTTTTCCCCCTTTTTTTCTTCTTGTTTACCGAGCTGAATGGCATGCTCGATTGTGACTTCCTTAGAAACCTTTAACTTCCTGAGCAGGAGTTCAGATAGCAAAAGTTAAGACATGTTTTTGTTTCATTTAGTTGACTGATATGATGCTGTCTCAAAAAGGCACATGATTTTGAGTTTTAAAAATGGATTTGCTAGTTACAGCAACTGATTATGTATATATCAGGGCTAAGCTAAAACAACAATGAATGATTTTTTTTAAAAACTATTTTGTATACCTCCCTGTCCCTCCCTCCCTCTCTTTCCCTCTGTAACACCATCACAGTGGCTTAATCTGGTGTTTTTATGCAGATACAGATGTACATCTTTCCTAAAATATGTTTCTGCATTACCCTGGAACTGAGATGTGGGTAGCCATCACTGGAGGACAGAATGGTCATTTGCCCAAGAATGTTACCCACTTGTACACATCAGTGCAACAAATTAATAGGAGGCTCTGATCTTATGTGAGCTCTTGAAATGGTAATGCCTATTACTGTATTTAAGAATGGTCTAAGCCAGTCCTGCCCCCCGCTGCTCATTCAGCTGAGTGCGGCTCTGGACTCAGATTCCTGGCTGGAGCACACCACTGTTTCAGCACAGGCACCACTCCTGCTAATCTTCTGAGTCATCTCCTGCTAGGGCCTTGCTAGTATGGTGTCCCTCTTCTCTGTGCCTCTACTATGACTGCAGGCCCAGGTACCATTTACTGCTTTTATACTGACAAATTAACTTATTTCATATGGGATGACACCTATTACCAATTACATATTCTCTCTCAACCTTTGTGGCAAGCAAAACAGAGAAGTCTTTTCTGAGAGAAGGAAGAAGTCAAAGACCTGCTATAAATAAACCTGTACTCAGTGACTAAACCCAAATAAATTACTCCCCCACCCCTCAACTCCCCTCTTGCAGAGCTAGTTCTTGCTTAGCATCAAAATGTCCTCGAGTGTATGGGATCTGTGTTGATTTTGGAGAAATGTTTACTTTTGTTTCCATCCCAAAATCAGATTCTTGTGGAGTTTGCTAAATAACACAAAAATGAAATGTAAATATTTCTCTAGCTAAAAGCAGCATGCTATTGGTAGTCTTTGTGAGAACAGGTCAGATTATAAATGGTTCTTGGGGCATCAGTAGAGGTTGCCAAAGCTTTCATATGAACTGCTACAGTATGGTAAACTGAAAGAGAACTATGCTCATTGTGCTATCGAAAAGACACATTTTCCAGGCATATGCTCA